GTGTTTCTGGGCCAGTAAAGTATTAATTGTTGGGGGTAGAGAAGGAGAGATAGACGGTGTCTCCAGCCCTGGTGGTACAGGCCCAACGGGACTGGTGTGTTTTCCATCTGGTGGCAGGGTCCTCGGGGGCTAATAGCTCCGCAGGCAGCAAAAGGGGGTGGGGGAGAGTGTCTGACGTCAGGCACCAAATTCAGTTGCCAATCAATTCCAGAAACATCTACCTTCAGGTTCCCATTTGCCCCAAAAGAAGGTTGGAGAAAGGCAATCTCTTTCCCTTTCTCCTCTCAGGCCTCAGCTTATGACCAGACTGATTCCTGTTCCCCTGATGTTTTTGCAGTGAGAGCCCCTGAAAATGCCCATTGCTTCTCACTCGTACCACCTCCTAGGAGGGAGGCTCCCCACGGGCCTCAGAGCCATGTTGCACCGAGGCTGTGGTTCTCCTTGGACCTCCTTTATCCAGCGCACTTCCTGGGGCACAGAAGACCCATCAGAACCTAGGGAGGTATTTCTCCGCGCAGCAGCTGTCTTCTCCCCCCCTGACCCCGTGACTCCCAGTGTCCATGGAAAAGCCTAGTATGATCTGAGTTTCTCCTGGCAGCCAGGTTATGGTGACCGGAGTGGAGCCTCTCTGGATATAGAATGTCACTTCCCGTTGCCAGCCTGTGGGCATCCGGGATCCTGTGTTCCTAACAAGCAGATGGGAGAGGGCCTTAGTGGCAGGATTCCTAGTGTTTGGTTTTGGTTCTGTTTTTAGCCATACAGGGAACACATTTTATATAGCCCTGGTAGGGGGGAAAAAAAATTCTGAATGGAATAATTCTGAATACTTGCTGAAAATGGAATATTTCCAAGCATTTTTTGAATAGATAGTCCATTATGGTGATAACTTTCAGGCTTTACTTTACTAAACACAAATGTGAGCTGAGCTCTCTATAGAGTTCATGTGAAGCACAGTATTTTTTTTTTTAAAGATTTTTTGATGTGGACCATTTTTTAAAGTCTTTATTGAATTTGCCACAATACTGCTTCTGTTCTGTGCTTTTTTGGTTTTTTGGCCCCGAGGCATGCAGGACCCCAGCTCACCTACCAGGATCCAACCCGCACCCCCTGCATTGGAAGGCAAAGCCTCAACCACTGGACCGTCAGGGAAGTCCTGAAGTGCAGTATTAAAGCATGGCCATTTCCCATCTCTCTCCAAAAATGTCATGGATCCCAAACAATAGAAGAAGAAGAGAATGTTGAACTGTTCCCTTCTGCTACATTCCACCTGCATCTTCCCCTGACATTCCCCTGAGATGCAGAATGTTTCTGGGAAAGCAGCCTAATCAAATTGTTTTTTAACTCAAGCCTAAATGGTTAAACTACACGAAGTGTGTAGATCAGAACGGTATCTGTCTCCTATGACCACTCCTCTGTGTCTAGACTGAAATGACCATATTCCCCCTTCGCTGGTTCTGGGCCCCCGGGGTGTGGCAGGGGGAGGTGATGAGATCCCGCTCCTCCCTGTGTCCACGGACTGGCTGAGGGGCTGGGTGGGGACCTGCCAGTCTCTGCCCGCGCAGGCCCGCTTCACTGCCACTTCCCTCCTAGCCCTGTGCTTCCACCAAGGCTGGAAGGGGTCCTGGGTTGCAAGCTGTTGGAGAGCTCTCAGTTCCTCTATAAACTAGAATCTTCTCAGCTGGATTTGGCTACTGCCGTTCACAGAAAGCAAAACACACTTTCTAGTTTGGATGACATTGGTTCTGAGAGTTCCCCGGCTAGCAGTTCTCAGCTGGCCTGCAGGCTGAAGCACCCAGGGGGCTGTGGAAGCTGAGCTTTTCACCTGAGGGTGACCCCTGGGGCAAGCAGGAGGGAACGGAGCAGAGAAGCAGCAGCAGCAGAGGAGCAGCAGCGTGTCCAGCTCTGCTCACTCTGACTTGCAAAGGTCCTTTGGCAAAATGTCATGGGTTGAGCAGCCAGGAGATACTGATTGGACAGGCCAGCCGGGGCTTTGGGTGTTAGGCGATTATGATGATAATGAAATATATAATGCAGGGCTTGACTGTATTTCAAAAGACACCTTGGAGTCACCTTCCATTTCAGTTTTTCCCACCCTGACACTCTGTGTGGCCTTGGGAAAACAGCTTTTCATTGTTGGCTCTAAGTAAATGTAAACTGCTCTTGGTCTGTCTGTCTGTCAGTTGCCTTTTTTACCATGAGCCAGGCCCAGGGGGAAGAATGGCAGATAAAGCATGCTTGATTCCATCTGTCCTGGTGCTTGCAGTGGTGATTCTCCCACATTTACCCACTTTGGCCTGGAGGAGGCATCCAAAGGCTGGTAGAGCCATTCCAGGGATAAGGACCCAACCCCCCATGTAAGAAAACGTTTCCTCACCTTAAGCACCCTACTTTTCTCCTGTAAATGCAGAAAAGAAAAAGAAGGCACACAAACAGATACCTGTGGAGTGCCTGCTCGTTGCCCAGCTTTGAGGCTTCTGAAATCTGAATGTAATGACTGATGTGTCATTTAATGCCAGGTTGGGCCTTGCAGCCTGGTGGTGGGGGAGAGTTTATCTGGAAGGTAAGAGCTGTCTTCACATATCCCTAAGCCTTTCCTGTGGAAGAGGAGATGAAGTTAGAAAAAATGTTTAAATCTGTAGAAAGACAAACGTTATAACTTGGCGCTTTATGCAAATAGGGTGAACTGACTGGGAGAGTTAGCAAGTGCCCCATCTCTGGAAGGTCTTTAGCAGAATTGGACATGGCGTGGGAGTTGGGATTATATGACCTGTGAGGTCCCTGCTGCTAACTCAAGATTCTGTGCCTGGAAGGACTCTCAAGAGATCACTAGGATATCTTAGAGATCCTTGCACCTGGGTTCAAAGATGTATGTGAAACAGTATTCATTGTACCACTGTTTAGAATGAGAAAAGATTGGAAACTCCACACATGCCTGTCCGAAGACTGGTTCAATAAATTATCATATAGCCTTACACAGGATGACTATACCTCATCCATTTAAAAAAAAAAAAATGTTATGAACTGTGGCAAGACCTCCAAGATGCATTATTAAGTGGAAAAACCAAGATGCAGAACAGCATATCAGTATGTGGGGTGGTGGAATACATTCATATATTTGCTTAATTGCAAATAGATCTGAGGGATACTTGAGAAACTGGTTATACTGGTTGCCTCCAGAGAGAAGAACTATAGGCAGCTGGGAGACGGGAGTAGGAAGACTTTTCTCTGAATAACCTTTTGCCTGTTTTGAGTTTTGAATCGTGTGGATGTATTGTCAAAAAATAAATATAAGTAAAAATATGTTTTAAAACTTTAAAAATAAGTTTTACTAGGTCGGAGCACTGTGGACAACAGGGGAAGTGGGAAGCAAGCTAACCTTTTATTGAGCATCTACTATGAGCCAGGTCTTCGGCCAGATGCCTATGTACATGATACTTTTAATCCACACAGTCCTTTATGGGAGGCAGTATCCACCCCCGATTTTATGGATACAGCACTGCGGCATTGCGGGGGTAGGGGGGAAGTACCCTCCTGGCTGGCTGGGTCGTTGCCGTGTTGCACCTGAAATGGGCAGGGCCAGAGAAAGGGATGCTCTGGGGAGGGCTGGAGGGAGGGAGGCCTTTTCTTTAAGGGGCACTGCAGACCTGCCGAGGCACTGCCTGCTTCTGATGCCGGCCTCTGGGCTGCCGGCCGATAAGTCGAGGCACACCCTCCGTTTGCTGCACGGGTCAGATGTGTTGTTTCCTTTGCTTTTGCTGAGCTCAGGGATGGAGTTCGCAGTGTGCATTAACAAGCAGTTAGGTGACTACTAGAGGAAAAGACCTTCCTGTGCTCCCGGCTGCCAGGGGAGAGGTGGTGCTTACCCTGTGTTGTTCTGCCGGGTGTCAAATGTGCTGCCTTTGCTTGCCAGCTGGAGGCTGGCTGGAGAGCTGTTATTTTTCTGACTGTCAGACCTGAGGCTCCTTACTTTCGCTTAGAGGAAGAAACATCCAAGCCCTGGTACAAAAGGTCCTCTTTTCCTTTCTTTGGAAAAAGAACAGTGAATGAGCTCATTATCACTGCAACCCAGTTGGCGTTGGGGGGGAGGCTCCTCCTCGCTGTCTGGGCCTGCCCCTAGCCAGGTTTCCAGGAGCAGGGGGCTTAGATCTGGCCCAGGGTGACCAAAGCCAGATGGCTGGGACAGGTGGTCCATACAGGGGGCAATGCTGGAGACATTTGGATGCTTTGAGACCAGCTCTCTCTGCTGTGGTCCAGAGGAAGGACAAGTATCTGCACCTCTTCTCCCCTGAATGCAGAGCTGCATCCAGGACTGACGGCCTCCAGGGATCAAATGATCCTCCATTCAGCGTTATGTGCCCATTCAGGTGCTCTAGAAAATGCCTCCACCCCTCAGAGCTGGCAGTCATGCAATAGCAATTATTTGTTGAATGCTTATGAATTGCCAGGCACTGCTCTAGGCGCTGGGGGTATAGCATGGAGCAAAGCTGGCAAAGCCTCTGCCCTCATGGAATTTAGATTCTAGCATGAGCAGTGAAGGGTGCCAGCACTGGCCTGCTCTTGCACCCTCTGCCCAGTTTCCGCTGGGTCTGGAAGAGCTGGAGGGTGGGGGGACTGACATATAAATTGCCTTGGAAGGGAGGCTCTTGGGCGTTTCCAGCAGCTGAGCTCCGATTGTTACCCGCTCACTCCCTTCAGAGCTCGTCTTTAGACCCTACAGGGCTGTGGCCAGAGAAAAGCCTTTCTTGATCTGAGCACCGTGAGCTCTGAAACCTTGCAGGTTGGTGCTGGACCTTGGAATCGTCTGGAAGAGACTCGGAGGCCTACCCCGGTGTGTGCGCTGACGGTGAGCTGGCGATGTTTGACTCGAGCCTGACAGCCTTTCCTTTTTGTTCCTCTTTTCTTCCATCTCAGATTGAGAAGATCATGAGCTCTATTGGAGAAGGGATCGACTTTTCTCAGGAACAGCAGAAGATCTCAGGTATGGTACCAAGCAGCCGTTTTCCCCATGGAGCACCACCCTCTGGGTCCCTTCTAGCTCAGGTTTTTCTCTGATGCAGAAGACAGACATTTGGGGGGTGAGAGAAGTCAGCCTCAGACCACGTCACTCTCTTACAATTTGGAATCTCATGTGTCCACACAGCCCATCTAGCTCTTACTTTAGGAGCCATGACTCCTTTTACATAGTGGAGGGGAAAATATACAAATTGAATTTTAGGCTATTAGGAAGCCCTTTTATAAAAAGTGAACGATTGTCACTTATTCATCATTGTTTTCATAAATGTAGGCTTTCTCTGATTGGCTTAATGTGGAGTGCTCCTCGTGTTGGTCTCCCAGCTTCCCAGGTGGCTCTGGCACTACCTCTTCATGGGCACGTGGCTTTCGTTCACCTGATCCATGGCAGCGGCAGAGCGCTGGGTTGGACTGTTTAGCCTGCATCGCCTGGAAGGGTTGGCTCTGCTGTTTCCTCCTTGTGTCTGTTTCTCCACTTTTCCATTTACTTAGACACTCATCATTCTTACTTCAGATCACTGTTACTTGGAGTATTCTTTTCATCTCAAAGCCCTACAGGTGAGGCCTGCCTCCATTTCCTTTGTTTGAAACAAAGGAACTAGGGAGGCCATACCTGAGCTGTTTTTCTTGGTAATAGAATTATGGTTGTGTTACTTGCTCAGGTGAGGTGACATCTTAAAGGTGCATCCCAGAGCACCTGCTGCACCCCCTCCCCCAAGCATCTGAAGACAGAACTGCCACCAGTGCATCTGGGCTGAAAGCAGCTTGGGACCCTGGCCACTTCCCCTTATTGGGGAAGTGCCTCTCTGCCCTGAAGGGGTGGCTTCCTTGTTCACTTAAGAGGCTCCATCCAGGATTGACCTGTAAGCCCTGAGTGACACCTCTAGTTCCTCCATGGGCCTCTGGCCCTGGCAGGAAGTCTGAGGGATGGGGGCAAGTATGCACGTCAGGGATAAAGTTGCTGCTGAGGTCATGGGGCTTGTGGAGAGAGCATGGGCTCTGGAGCCGCAGCCCTGGTTCAAATCCTGATTCTAGATACCTATGTGTCCAGGGCGAGTCGCTTACTCCCTCCGAGCCCGCAGTTTCCCATCTGCAACATTTGGATATAGTACTTCTCTCTTATGTTTGTTAAGAATGAGTAATATATACAAACACTTGAGCTAAAGAGGTACTCAGTAAATAGTAGTTATGCTCATTTTTCTCCAGGAAATGATTACTTTCTCATATCGACAAACCTGGAGAGGAGGGGCGTCTGCCCCCCTGCCTTGTCTCCCTCCACACTTTTTCCCACTGCGTTCCTGGAGACACCCTCCCTTCAGCCCTGTTTCCCTGGGCTCTAGCAGAGAGGGTCCGGTTGGGTTGGGTTCATCTTTGCCAGCCTTGGATTATGCTGAGGGTCTGCACAAGTGGCTCTCTTTCCAGGCACTTGCCTACACGCAGTCCGGGGAGCTTTCCTTCTGTCGTGGTTTGCAGGCTTTTACCAAGAGCATGTGTTTGTTGGGAATAGATGTTCAGGACCGAGACAAACACTGTTGCCATGTGCTTTAGGGGCAGCAGGTATGGGTCTGATGCAGTCAGCTTTTTTGAGGCTGCTTTCTGCTGCCCTGTACCCCTCTGCACCTGAGGAGCCTATATCAGTTGCATGCGCTTAAGAGATTGGGGCAGAATCAGGCCATTACCTCCTGGCTTTGATAAAACAGGAGATGTGGCAGCCCTTCTGGAAAACACTCTTCTGGAAGAGCTCTTCTCCTTGGAGCTGGTGACACTGAGCCCTTTCCTTGCCCTGTGGGCCCCACTTTCCAATCCTCGCCCCCCACGAACTTATGTGAATGGCAGGAGCTGGTCCAGCTCCCCCCCTAGGTTTCGGGATCCCAACACACAGTTTTGTTTCAGCAGCATTGAGTTGAGCCATCCTCCATACCCCAGCTTAGGAAAGTCGAGGGCGGGCACGGGAAGGTGGCCATGAGCAGAGGGTGCGTCCACCCGTGCTGCAGAGTCCCAGCCCGCAGTATCCGCGTGGCGGCCAGGCTGTGAAGGATGGAGAGCGTGGGCTCAGGCCTGCCTGTGACCTCTGTCTTCTGTCTGATGGGTCAGGAGGGGGCTCTCCCCAGGACCTCGGGGAACACCAGCCTTCCACTCAGACCAGAGCAGATTTCTTGTTTATTCTGAATGATCATTGTCAGAGTTCATGTTGTCCTTGGGCTTCTGGATCTAGGTGAAGAGGCCTGGGCTGTGGGGTTGCCATCCTGGGAGGAGGAGCAGGCGTGCCAGCCAGCAGCCCTTAACTAAGCATGGGATTGCCTGGTGTGACTGGTTTTGCAGAGGGTTGTGTCCTGAAGTGCCCCAATATGGCACTTGAATCTCACTCCTCTTTTGGGCTGTGGGCCTCCGAGTGGCCAGCTCTGGAGCTGGTTACCCGTATCCTCAACAAGCATGTTTTACAACTCATCCCACTGTCTGGAGTCCAGGGAGGGCGAGCCTTCCCCCTGGCCTGGGCCACTCTGGCTGCTGTCATCAAAGACCTGTTCTGTCTAGCCAGCAGAAGAGAACGCTTGATTTTCTCTTGCTGAAGCCAGCCGTTTAGCTGTTGAGTAGCTGTTAAATGCAGGCTCCTCTAGGGGCCTGATCTCCCAGCACACAGAGCCCCTCCTTCACCAGGGCCACCAACAGCCTGTTGGGATGCAGGTGCCTCCCAGCACGTTTACAGGGTGACACGTGGTCCCTGGGTTTGTGTCTCTGTACATGTTACCGTTTTTGTCTCCTCAGCTGTACTGGGGGTTTGGTCCTGGTTTCCCCTTGTCCTTGGTACCTCTCCTCCCATGTCCTCCTCCGCCAGAGAGTGAATGGCCTGCCCTGGGCCTGGCACTTCTCTGCTGGGCTCTGACGGCCTGGAGAGAAGTCTCTTCCCAAGTTGTTTGGTGCGCTCACCTGAGGACTATCAGTTGTAATGTCCGTATTTTGTCATCTGTTTTTGTGATACTGCGCGGCTTATCTGCCTGGCAGAGGCACAATCATTCCTGAAGTGGGGGCGGGGGTCACTTAACCCGTGGGCTGTGCCCTCAGGACAGTGTCCCTCCTCTGTCCCCTCTCTGGCTGTCCTAGAAACTATTGGCCAAAACTACAGAACTGTTCCTTCTCTATTCTCCCTGATAAGCTGTTTCCAGCCCCTGGAGCTGGGGGTAAAGTTTGGCCATCTCTGCCTTTTGTATGCGTGTGTATTAGGCAACAGCAGGTATTGGAAAATCTGTCCTTTTGCTCCGATGCTGGTGCTGCTGTCTCCTTCTCCCTCGGTGGCAGAAGCAGCAGCTTCTGCTGCGATGTCCGATCCCTGATGTGTTTTCCTGAGTGTGGAAGGGAGGAGGGTGGGCAGGGGAGGAGGGGGGGAGGGCCAGACGTTATGCGAGCGAGCAAGGACTGTGGAGCCGGCAGCAGGCAGCGTGAGAGCCCAGGAGCCTTTAGACAAAGCATTCTGCTGCGGTTCTGGACGCGCACACATCCACCAGCAGCAGGCCGGACCATGGCTGCCCAGCCGGGGGATTACGAGCAGGAATGAATCAGCAGCCGGGGGACACTTGACATCAAGGACATACAAGAGCCCGCCACTTAGGTTCCTGGAAAAGACGGCCCCACTCCAGGGCAGGGGAGCTCAAGCAGCCCCCAGACTCAGCATCTCGCAGTGCTGCTGCAGTGTGCATTGGGACCCTGACCACCATCTGTTCAGCAGAGGACAGAGGAGAGGGGGAGCCTGGGACAGTGGGTCACCAGGGTCTCCTAGACAACCAAGCCACCTGGCCTTGGCCTGCCCCGAGGGGCAAAGTGCTGGGAACAGCATAATGACTTTCACCGTGTCAAGAGTTCTCCGGAGGTGATGTTTTTATAGTTGGTTCTTCTTTTTCCTTCCTTGCACCTCTTCTTCCCTTTTTCCTTTTTTCTTCTTTTATCTGTTCTTGCCCACGAGAACTGGAGAAGTAGGTGGGGTTAAGGCGTTCAGCTCAGAACATCCAAGGTCTGCCCGGAAGGGCTGAACTTTCTTCCTCCCTGCACCAGCATGCTCCCCTGTCCTACCTGAGGACCGGAGCAAATGCATCTCCTCCCCTCCCTGCTCATCCTCAGAGAAGGACAGCAAGCTCCGGAGACCCTGGGAAGACAGTTGCTGTCTTTATCACTCAGCCAAAGAGAGAGCAGCGCAGAATGGGAATAGACTTGAGCCACCACAGCTCAGCTGACGGAGGACCGCTTCCTTTCTCTCTCCTTTATTGGGCTGGGCTTTGTCTTCTTTAGCCAAGAACTGGATCTGCCCGCCTGCTTTCCAGCCGAGCAGGCAGGCCAGTCACGGGAGCAGCCAGCCACCGTCGGAAGAGGACGATGAACGCCCAGCCCCCGCCACACAGCCCCGCCCGGGAAGGCGGCCCCGCGGACAGCGGCCTGGCCAGGGAGACGCCCCGCTCGCCGGCAGCCGGAGTCTAGCTGGGGACCCGGCTCCCGGCCGGAGCTCCGGCCCATGCGCGCGCGCGCACCCGCCCGCACGCACCGCCCCGACTTGAGCCTCTGAGCACGAAGTGCCGGTGGCCATGGTTTGCTTGTTCCGGGACTGCTGGGGAAAGACAAGTAAAAGTCTCCTTTCTCCCCTTGCCGGGTTCCTGCTGCTTGTGTTGCATGCGCTGGCTCCCCGTGACCGTGACCGTGAACGGAGTCCTCGCTGTGGTCGCTGTGTCTGTGTCCCAACACTGCATGAAGAGGCGCGCTCGCCCCTGACCGGCCTGTGCTGCAAGGTCGCGGGACTTGTCCCTCGTCCCCGGCCCCTTCTGGTGCCCGTGGGGACAGACTTTCTGAAATACCTCCGAGGAGGCGGACGAGCGCCGACCCGGAGAGCGTTGGGGCTTGGCTCTCCCGATCCCTGGGCAGCGGCCGTGCAGGTGCTGCGAGGCCCCGGAGCAGCAGGACCCAGGGGGGTGCGTGAGTGGGCCGTGGCCGCCCGGTGCCCTTGGTGCACCCACTGAGGAGGGGCCGCGGGGCCACCACTCTCCCTCCTCTAGTACGGAGTGTGGCTGCTTTATGGTAATGACTATGATGTGGCAGTGCCATCTGTCTTCCTCTGAGTGCCGCTGCTACCGCCTCAATGGTTTTTCCCTTTTCAAGCGTCTGCCGATTCCTCTCTCGTCAGGTTCGCGGCCGCCGGAGCAGAGCGTCGGGGAGTGGCTGGAGGCCGTGGGGCTGCAGCAGTATGAGAGCAGGCTGCTTCTCAATGGCTTTGACGATGTCCGCTTCCTGGTGAGTGTCCAGGCCCCCGGGGGAGACGCTCCCTGCTGCCCAGGCCGTGCTAGAGTTGGAAACTGTACGTAGATCTTTGTCTCGGGGAAGAGGGGGCTGCATGGCTTAAACCCGGGGCGCTCAACTGAGTGTCATCTGCTTCCTCAGCTCCGCTCCGGACACGGCCCTGTGGGGAGAGCTCTTTGCAAGTTTGCGTCCAAGGAGGCGTGTCTCTGATGCACCCATTGGCCCCATCCCCGCTCTCTTTCAGACACCAGGCAGTGGGTGGCTCCGAGAATTGAGGTGCACGGGACAGCCGGGTCCCCCTGGCGACTCCCCTTCCTATCTCAGCCGGACACCAGAAGTTCCCTTTGTTCCCCGAAACTATGCCGTGGAGCCCGTAGTCACTGAAGCCGGGAGCCTGGTCTCCCTCAGGAAGGCTGAGTGTCTGGCGGGGCCGCGGCCTCAGAGGTGGCCCAGACGAGAGGCTGAGCTGGGGGTGGGAAGGATTGCTTCCTTTTCTGAGCTATAACTTTGCGCGCTCTTCTTGAAGAGCACAGCGGCCCAGAGAAAAAGAAAAAAACCTAATGTCTTTTCTCAGGCTCCCTGTGGAGTAGGGGCCTGGCTGGGACCCTGGGCTCTGGATCCAGTGCCCCCTGTGTCAGTCCAGCAAGCAGCTCAGGGTGGGCTGCCCATGACCATCCCTCTCCTGGAAGCCCTCCCGAGATGTCCTCGTGGGCCGGGTCCGGGCTTTGGCTCCGGCTCCCAGGCAGCCCCGGCTGCCCCAGGGCAGGTGTTGAGTGCAGTGGTGACGACAGAGCTGACACGTCTAGTTAGTGCTCTGTGTGCGGGCAGTTGTGGGACGGTGGTTTGCATGTATCCACTCATTGACTCTCCCAGTAGCCCTGAGATGTGCGCTCTTATCAACATCTCCGTTTTCCAGATGCAGAGCAGTGGAGTGTCTCACTCACACCCACAGCTCTGGGAATTGGTGGGGTAGGAACGTGTGCCTGGCACCTGGGTCCGGGGGTCCTGCTCTAACCACCGTTCTGCACGGCCACTTTCTTACTCGAGGATGAGGGGAGTGGGAATGGAACCATTCATATGCTTTAAGTCGCCCTGTTGCACGTGTTATGTCAGGAGCTGGTTTGAGGCTCCTCCTTGATTCCTGGCGGGCCTATCCCCCACTCTGACAATTCCCGGAACGCAGTCCCGAGTGGATGCTGAGTTGCCTTCAATCCCTGAAGCAGATTTCTGACCCCCCAGCTCCCTCGCTGCCATGGTTGAGGGGCGGTGGTCGGTCAGCCCAGAGCTCCCCTGCCCTCTCCTGTCCAGAGTGGGTCTCTGTGGGCTTCTCACCAACAAGGTGGCATTGGGTGCCTCCTGAGTAGAGGGCCACCCAGGGAGCTGGCCTGGGGATCCCAGGGGGACCCTGACTGGGACCGCTCACTTCACCTGGGCCGTCTCCATCCTCAGGGCAGACAGCAAAGGCTGCTGCAAACCACCTTTCCAGAACCAGCTTCGGGCCAGTTATTTTTCAGCTTTTAAAAATCTTAGGTTTTAAAATAACAATTTTTTTTAAGTTGAACTGAGTGTATTTATAGCTGTTATAAACTAATCCCTGGCTCACCATGTCCTATGGGGAAGGCTGACAAACCCAAGGTGGAGGTGGGGTTCAGCCAGTGACTGAGGGCACTTGGCCCTTGGTGCTGGTGTTGAGGGGCCTTCCCTCTCCTAGCGCTGGCCATCAGGTGGGCAAGGGAGGGTGGCCGTGGATGTCACAGAGTGTCCCCTCCCTATGCTTAGGAATCTTAGGGGCTGAGCTCTTGACTTCTCACCCCTCCTTCTGCTAGTTTGGAAAGGCTAAGGTTCCTAAGCCTTGAATATCAAGACTCCTTTAAAAGTGCTTCCCTATCACCCCTGTGCTCAGATCGGAAAGTAGCTGGGCGGGCCCTGGACCAAACATCCATGCAAGACGCAGGGCCTCTGTTAGAACGCGTCTGTTTCTATTTGGGAAGAGCGCTCATTGAGGGAGGCCCGCAGCTCAGTTCTTCCAGGGCCTTCCAGGCCTCTCCTGCTGCTCTGGGTGCGAGCTGTTCCTCTCTCTCCTCTCGGCTCTGGAGGGGCAGCTGGCAGGCGGAGTCCGTGCAGGAAGGAATGCTGGTTACACCACAGCCTAGCCGGTCCCCTCTCAGACCTCGAGTGGCCTGAGTAGCCATGCAAAGTATCCTGGGTAATTGCATGTAAGTTGCCAGATGGACTGCAAGGCTAATTAAGTTTTAGCAACCAGAAAAAAGAGGAAGAAAACACACAAGAAGGGAGCACTTTTGTTTAGAAACATTCCCTCCTTGCATATGGTATAACTTACATCATGTTAGCTGTGGTATTATCCCCGTGTGGTTTGGTTTCCAATAGGCTGTAAATGTTTCCCTTAGTTTTGAAATACCCTGGAGACTCTTCTACAAGATGCACAAGTGGCTCCCAGGAAGCCATCCAGACTCTAGATGTAGTAGGAACATCTGGAAACTGATGGCTGCTATGGAATCTCCCTGTGGCGGGCTCCTCCGAGCTGTTGTGGGAGGAGTATAGGGCGTTTGAGGGGGGTCGCGCAGCTCCCTCTCAATGTGGAAGGGACTGTAACATCGTGTGGCCTCATCATGCCCTCTGTGCCCGAGTCCCCTCCAGATGAGCTCTGCCGTGATGATTCCCCAGTAACAGGCTTCTCCACCTTACAAAGGCATAGCCCATTCACTGTCTGCATTGCTTGGGCTGGTTTAGAGCATTCTTTATATTGAGCCAAAATCTGTTTCCTTGTGGCTTCTGTCCATTGAACCAGGTTTACCTTTTGGGGCCACACAGAACACACTTAAGCCCATTAGAAAATTGAAGACCTCTGTCACGGCCTCCTGGGTCCTATCTTGTCTAAGCTCAACACCCTCTTTCTCTTGGCTCTTCCTCCTGTGATGTGATGACTGAGCTGGACCAGCAAGGATTGCACCTTGAACTTTATTCACACCCTCTTGTCTGCAGGCAGAAAGGGCCTCTGATTTGCACGGGGCAGGGGCAGGGCAGCATGGTCTGCCAGGTGCTCGCTCCCAAGGCTGATGGGACTGACCCCAGACCCTGGGAGAAGGGACGGGGGATCAGGCTCACACATCTGCCGGCCAGCTCACTACACTGGCTCGTGCATCAGAGCCAGTTCCATTTTTTTCACCACAAATCTTGTCCACAGGAAATGGGCTTTCTCTGGAAAAGGGAGGAAATGCAGTTAATCAGCGCGGAAGGAAGGTGATTTGTGGTTGGCAGGTTTTCAGCTCATGCGTGCTCGTGCAGGTCTCTGTATCTGGGACTCGGCCTGCCCTCCCTTTACGGAAGTGTTCATTGAGTAAATGGCGGTGCTTCTCACGCTGGGGTATGATGTGGACATTTAAAAAGGTTTTTAAGACTGTCTGATGTGGAGAAACATTCACCTTGGAGTGTTGAGTGAAGAAATTGAGACACAAAAATCCATGTGCAACATGACCTTAATTTTCAAAAAAGAAAACATCTAGAGGTGCAGGGAGTGAGCCAAAATGTTTTCCACAGTCAGTTATCTCGGGGATTATGGGCGGCTTCATTTTCTTTTTTTTGGAGTGAAATAGATTTTCTGCTATTTTCTGCTAAAATCATTAAGAAATGATTTCCATTCATTTCTTAACAATGAATGGATCTGAAATCAGAAAAGCAGATAATGTAGGAGCCTTAAGGAACTTGACAGATGAGCTGGGAGAAGGTAGCACACAGCGCGAAAGTAACAACAGAGCGGCCGAGTGTTAAGTGCTGCCGCAGGGAGGAGGCCCTGCGCTTACCCAGGGTTCACTGCCTGCTGGGCACTGAGCTGGCGCCCAGCCCTGGGGCGGTTGTCCATTAAGTCGCAGATGGGGCCGCTGGGGCCCAGAGGGTGGAGGCACTGCCAGGAAGTGGCAGAGCTGGGACGCTAGCCCAGATCTGTCCAACTTTGAACCCCTGGGTTCCACTTGCTGTCCTGAGGGTTTTGTAGAGGCCTGCAGGACTTGGAAAGACTCCAGGGAGAGGCCCACACTGTCTGTGGTGAGGGGAATCTGGCTCGAGGTGCAGAGAAGGGCAGGGCCCTGACTGGGCAGCAGAGGTGGGCTGGTCCTGACTGCGAGGAGCCTCGAAAGCACGCTCTGGGGGAGCCCCGAGGTCTCTGAGCCCTGGGCCTGGGAGGCAGGGTCCTGTGGCTGTGCCCTCCCCAGGCAGAGCTTCCTGGGAGTCATGGTGCCCCTTAACAGCAGGGTGGAGTGGAGAGCAGGCACGTGGGAGGTGGTCGAGGCTGGGTGTTGGACAAATTGAAAGCGGAAATGAGTCTGGCAGCGGGTTCGGGATGGGCTGGAAACAGAGACTGAGCCGGCAAGGCCGCTGCCTCTTAGGGGCAGCGTCGGGGAGGCCTCGTGCTCCTCCCATTTATTTCTTCACAGGCTTCTGCCACATACAGGCAGCCTCCCCGTTTTCCTGTCTGTTTCTGAGACTGTGTCAGCTGGTCCCACGAGTGGGAGAGGGATGGCAGGTGAAAAGGACCGGGCCCTGCAAGAGCTAAAGGCGTAAGCTCGGCAAGGAGGTCCTTCTTTATTGGCTTCCCTGAAGCTTTCCAGCCAGGTCCCCAGACCCCCGAGCTTCCCTTCCTGCTCCTGTTCCCCAGATTAGCCGCACTCTTCAGCCCCGGAAGCCGGCTTCATGTGTGCAGCTGGCTGTGCCCTTGGGTTCCCGCCCTGGCTCCCCACGCCACCTCCTCACCGCAACCCTCCGATGTCCCTCCCTTTGTCTTCTTTCCTCCCCGTCTTCAAGGGGCCGCTGCGGGCACTGCTGTCAGGTTGCCTCCCCGCCTCGACTTCTCTGCACCAGCTCTGGCCCATCTCTGCAGAGCACTCTGGGAGCTGACTGCTCAGTGGGGTGTGGGTGTGGTAGGGGTTCCTGGGCCCCAGCGTGTAGCAGGGCCTGAGAGGGAGAGCTCCCTCAGCCGG